TCCCCTAAGCCTCCTGTGGCTCCTCCTCTCAATTTCCCAGACCAAGCCCTTCTTTTAGCAGTTGTGCATCCCACCAGTGTGCAGCTCCCCCCAGGGCAGAGAGTGGCCAAAATCCTGCGTAACAATCACCCTGCTGTGATCCACAGCTTGTCTCTCTCAGATACATTGATAACTTAAATATAATGGCAAAGCAGTAGGTCTTTGGAGAAAAATTCTTCTAAAAAAGTCATTCTGCCTCGTTTCTGTCCCTTGCAACACTCCAGCTTTAATACCGGTGGATCAGTGTCTGGGTGGATCGGGGGGGTGCAGGGAGAGGGGAAAAGCCCTGCACTGATTGAAAAGTGAATTGTTGTCCTCGCTTCAGGTAAAAAGCAAGTGAAGCAGGAAATTGCTCTGTGTTTTCTTTCAGAGGAAAGCAGCTCTCATGTGGTTCTGCCATAAGATAGGCAAAGATACAGTTCGGTTTCATTAACTCATTTTGATTGACAAAACAGCTGCGGAAAATACATTCAAGCAGATTCTGCAAGTCTAGAAACAACATTTCTGGGCCTCGTCATTTGAGAAAAATATTACAGATTCTTGGTGTGCCTTGGGAAGACACTCCTTAAACCAATTTACCAGTTTAACAGCATTTACTAGCTCTTCTGCTTAATCAGCTGCGGTTCAGTGCAGAAAATTATGGGGATAAAGTATTTTGTTCCCCATCTTCAGCAGTACTTGTGGAAGGACTGAGCCTCAGACACACACCTGTGCTCCATCCCTGTGCTCTGCCCTCCACAGCTCCATTTTATACATGGGAATTTGTCACTAACCTGACTGTTTTGGGATGTTTTCCGTGATGACAGCCATGATCCAGCTCGCAATCTCCCAAGCTCAAGATGCACCAGGCCTTGGGCACACTTGGAAAAAACCAAACACAGTGTACAATTTAAGTAGACATATAATATTTCATGCTCTCCTGGAGACAATTATGTTTATATTCAGCACCACAACTCCGTGAAGAAAACCACAAGAATGCTCAAAACATGAACATTTGTATTGAGACAGTACAAAAAGCAGATTTAGGTTTATCCTGAAGGTTTGTCCCGGTTGCTGAAGTTAGTCTGGATGTTCCTAGTGGCAAATTGTAGATGGGCAATTACTCAGTAAAAATAAACAAAAAGCCCCCAACACTTGAGTAGATGTTTTAACAACCCTTCAGAGGAAAAATGTTGCAGAACAGGGTGAATTTAACCCATATGGATTCAACTTAACAATATCCCCTCGTATCACCAATCTCCAGTTCTTAAATAGGTAAACTCTTGGCCAAGTACCAACCCTGAATGGAAAAAGCAAGGAAATAATTAGCCTTTCCCTTCAAGAATGAAAGAAATCACATGCAGAAACACTGGTGGTGATGGCAGGGGGAAAGCCCTTGTGTCCAGATGCAGTTTGGAATGGGAATAGGTCTACAGCATCCACACAGGCTGTCAGGGCTGGGAGCTGTATGAGGACTAACACCAGGCACTTACGGCTATCCTATCCCCTGCTCTCTCCTCTGACCCAAGCAGCCACATGCTTTTTGAAGGAACAAGGCAACTTTTCCCAGAACTTGAGTGTAAAATCCCTTCTGGAAGAGGGAAATCTATGCAGGAACAGATTTAAGCTGTCATTTTATAGCTGCAGGTCAGTACAGCACAGCCAAAGACATTTATTTCAGTTCTGGTTTGTAAGCCTCTCTGGTTTCCAAGTATTTTTCTAACATATGAAATACACAGTTGTATTTTCTAACTAAATGTGTCTTTGTTTTCCTGCTTCATATCATCCAATTCCTAGAAATACACGGAGAAGTGATTTTAAATGAACCTCACAAAGTTATTTCAGATGGAATTCCTGTCTTAGCAAGCAGTTGGAACTGTCCTGTGTATGGCAAACAGCACTTGAGGATAATTACCTTGCAGTATCAGTAACTGCAATTTAGTATCTTAAAATGTATTCTGTACTCACCTTAAGTATAGTGGCAACAGTCTCTTGTGAGGCATTTCTCATATCCTCCCCATTTACAGACAAAATCTGATCTCCTTGAATTAATCTTCCATCTAGATCTGCAGCTCCTCCTTTAACAATGTCAGAGATAAACACTCCACTTCCATTTCTAACAATGCAAGAAGCATATGGCTAATTACACAATCCAATATTCTTTGGGAGACCAATTTAGATTACTTGCATTTAAGAGACATTAAAAGAAACCTTTGAGCAGTGGAAGAACTACTTTTACACCCCATTCAACCATGTAAAAAATCAATGAGTTTTAAAGCCACGACATGTTTTGCTATATTTAATGCTGTCTTTCACCTTGAGTTGTTAGTTCTGACTGTATGAACCACAAAGATTCCTGAAAAACATCACTTGTATGAATAACAAGCCAAGGATTGGCCTAAGATGGAGTTAACTATCTTGTGGGACACAGTTGAGTGGTGGACTTGGCAGTATTAGGTTAAAGGTTGGACTCAATTAGCTTAGAGAGCTTTTCCAACCTAAATGATTCTATGGTGTGAGCTGGTGCCAACTGCAATGCCAACATTTGGCATTTGGTATCCTTCATCCTGAAGGACACAACACTTCACACCTTGAATTATACCTGGATATTTAATTGACTTCAGAAATTGGGCTACCTCTAAGGTGGAAATCCCCACAACGAAGCACTTAGCAATAGCACAGAAAGTTGAGGACAGAAGCAAAGGCAGGAGGGCTGGAGGCTGCGATTACCATCTGCAGGGTAATTTACATAAGCTAAATTAATTACCCAACCCGCAATCTGCTCACAACACCTGGGTTAAACATCACCACTCTTGTACAAAACTGCTGTGGAAACTTTACTGACCATACACAGTCAGGATAATGACAAGATGATTTGTAATTGCACAAATAAATTAGTTTGGGCAATACAGAAAACCAACCATATGACTCCTAGGCACTGACACTGAACAAGTGTCGTGCCATAAACCTCTCTTAGCAATGAAAGATTAAAACTATCAGTGCTTTGCTTCTAGTGATCTAACAGCAATGGTTTAAAGACAGATCAGTAAAGAGTCATAGTTTATTAAGCAGCTGCTATCTCCCACCATATTGCTCTCTACAACAACCTGGAAGGAGGCTATAGCCAGGTGGGGGTTGGACTCTTCTCCCAGACAGGACAAGAAGACACAGCCTCAAGCTGCACCAGGAGAAGTTTGGGTTGGGCATCAGGAAGAATTTCTTCACTGAAAGGGTGGTCAGGCATTGGAATGGGCTGCGCAGGGAAGTAGTGGAGTCACCATCCCTGGAGGTGTTCAAGGAAGCACTTAGTGCTCTGGTCTAGTTGACAAGGTGCTATGTGGTTAGAGTTTGGACTCAATGATCATAGAGGTCTTTTCCAACCTAAGTGATTCTGTATCTCAGGTTCTGCTCCATACTTGCAGACCTGCTCTCTGCTGTTTTATACAGTCACTCTGGTACTGTTCAGGATTTGGGTCTAACTCAGCCTCTTATCTTCCACTTACATCGCTCCCTTTGAACCCGAGTAGAAGCTGAGCTAACTCACAAACCCATCTGCAAAGGCATATCCTGGTATTTAGAAGTGGAAAGGTTTCTCTCCCAGTTTTGAAACCAGAAAAGCCATGGTTAGGGCCCCCAAGCCCTGAGACATGGCTGTGCTGATTCCACCAGAATAGAGAGCTCCCAGTTCTGCATGTGCCACACACCAAGAGGGATACCCACTCCGTGCTGTATACCAGGAGCTCTCCTGTGCAGCCTTAGCCTTCACTGCTCAGGCCTGTTGTTCTGATAGAGGAAGCAGAACCACAGTCCCATCAAATCCTTGAAGATATTTAGACAGAAAATTATGCTCCTTGTGGAGTTTTCCTTTTATTTTATATTCCATTTGGAATAGCTACAGTTGTTCATGCAACAAAGCGAAACATTCCTCATTTGAAGCGCTGTCACATCAGAGAGCTGCTCTTACCGTTTCCCAGCTATGCTGAGCCCCAGTCCTCGGCCTGTTTTCTTTTGTATATCTACAAAGAAAATCTCCAAGTTTTCTTCATCTTTGTAATGTGCTTCATTCCTATAAACAACCAGCTGCACCTTCTGGGGCGTCTGTCGGAGCGCAGTGATCGCCTCCTCATGGCTGGCGTTCCGCAGATCGATCCCGTTCACCTGAAATAATCCGTGTTTGCTTTCCAAATGACAGGTATAAATGATCTTTTCATCACACCCTACCCTTGTGTGACAGCACAGATTTGTCAAATTGACACCCCTTGGCGCTCTAATTTAGTGCTCCCATTTGCAGAGGGCCGAGCTCCTGGATCTCCTGCGGAGCGCACGTTTGGGGCTCTGCGCCACAGCCTGGAGTAAATCACTATAATCAAAACATCTTGGCTTGGAAGTTTTGTGGGTGTTCTCCCCTTCTTTTTAACCATAAACCTTTGGAACCTCAAACAATGTTTCCTTCTATAACCAGACATAGTGGGATGTGCTCCTTTGAGCTCCCTGTGTCTCTTACTGCGCAGATTCCTTCTCCCCTGACCCTGCAACACTGTCCAGCCGAAAACAGAAGGAATCAGGAATACCAGCCATGGAGAAGCCCAGGCAGGATGTATTAAATGGTGATTTTCCCTTTTTCCAATAGATGGCACACCAGACCGCTCCTGGAGCACCCAATTACACTTCTCTTACCATAACCTGAGAAGGTTTCAGCATTTTAGTAGTATCAGACAGAACAAGAAGTTCTACTTAAATGTACAAGCACTATTGCAAGTTGAAGTTTTATCTCCTCATTTTGTCAAGGCTGATCCACAGATGCCCTTTAAGGTGTTTGCCAATACTCTGTCAACAAAATCATCTTTTATTTCTTAATACCAAAACATACTTAAATGTTTTTGAAGTCTCTTTAGATAGTAGCATAAACTGTAACAGAATAACCCTAAGTGAATCCACTTCCATAAGTTTTAAGGCAATGAAAATATTTCTCAGCATTTCTAGAATGCAAAGTTATACTTAACATTAAGATAATTAAGCCTAATCTATAGTAATTACATTGCTTTGTCTTAATTCTGCACACATTTATTTATGTGCTGCACTGATATTCTCTCCTCAACGCAGACATCTATGTGTGCTTTATCACCCTAATCTGAAACTAATTCAGAGCCATCTTTTTGATTCATTAGCACAGCTTTTAAAAGCAGAAATAATAACAATATCACGGCCCACAAACATTAGCACTTTCCTGTTTGGTCAGAGAAGAATTAATTAACTTGCCCCATTTTTACCCCCTAATTACTGTGCTCTGTTAATACACCGTTATTTATAAAACGAAAACAACATTCAGCCTCAATGCTAACAAAAATATTTTCAGTGCAAGAGCTGTAAAGACAACTCCCCAAGTACCCCTCACTATTTTTCTAACCCTACACACCGAAGCCTTAATGGCCATGCTGGGAATTTGTCCTGAGCTGACAGCAGAGCTGCAAGCAGCTGTGCTGAACCCCTGCCTGACGCAAGTTTCATTTGCAGACCAACATTTGCAGACCAGCACTTCTCTCTTAACCCTTTCCTTCCACCTTTATCCATGCCTTTCCCTCCACCTTTTCCATGCTTGTCTGCAGGAAAACCACCACATTTATTCACAGCAACCATTCTGTGTCTTCCCCAGTCAGATGGCCTGGGGGAGCTGGTAGTTCCCTGAGCAGTGCCATGGGCAGGCAGTGCTTTCCACAGGGATGCTGGGAGGGATGCTGGGAAGGATGCTGTAGCCACTCTTGCCTCTTGTTGGCCCAACTCAGTGTTTGGGTTGCAGGCAGCACAGAGATCTTGAGCGGCGGCAGCAGCACAGGTC